AACCTAAACCCCAATGCTCAATTCCATTAACTAAATGAATAAAAAGAAAAACCAACTTCCAACAGAGCTACAAGGTTCCTGACACTGTCTGAAAGATGTGTTTCCAATTAACTGATTGCTTCTGTGATTAAAAAAAAGAACATGAAGATGTTTAGTTCTGACAGGTTTTTCTAGGATATATATCTACCACAAATAATCAACTCAACAGTATTATCTATTTTAAGATTCTTCATCATGAGAACATCATTTGCTTTTAGCATCTATATACAATATTTAAATGAAATTTCAAAGGAAGGAGACGGTAAAGAGGTAACTAAGTTTAAAAGCCAAAGAGTAACTGTTGGATGATATCCCTGCTACGCTCACACAGAAAATATGCTGATAGGCAATTCACATGTCCAGTGGCTGGAGTGTTTTAGTAAGAACCTCATTGTCAGGCCACACATACACATATACTCTCTCTCTCTCTCTCTCTCTCTCTCTCTCTCTGTGTCTCTCCCCCTCTCTGTGTGTCTCCAATAAACCTGAGTTTTCCACCTCTCCACAGCTTTGTAAAGTATGGGATGCTTTCTTTATAATTACAAAAGTAACTATAAAAAGAGAACTAATAATATCTACTACTTACTGGAGTCAGACGGGTGAGGAAGACAAAATAGATGGGAGGCAAGAAAAATGCCACTTTCCCCTTAGCAAGGAGTTAATAGATATTATCAAATTTGTGGAGTCAGGTATACACTGTGACAATTTAAAAAGAAGGTTGCAAATTCTTTGACACTCCTCCCAACAAGTGGTGCTCCAAACTATGAAAATGGAAGTAGTCTCTGAAGTCATAAAATGCCATGAAGCTTTTGAGTGGCTCACTGGAGGTGCTCCTAGCTTGAGTTAGTTGTCAAATGTCAACATGGAGGGTGTTTTGGGGATCAAGTTGACATTTTACTCAGTGAAGTGTGTGAAAAGCTGATTGTTCTACATGATGTAAGTGGGTCTCCTGCAATCAGCTGAAGCCAGACAAGGACAAAAAACTGGAGTCCCTAAGCAAGAAGAAATTCTCCAGACAGCTGTCTGTGATCTTCATCTGTGACAACATCTCCCCTGGTGTCCATGATGCTGTTTTGGGACTTGCTTGCCTCCATAATCACTTAAGCCAGTTCTTTATAATAAATCTCTTTCTATAATCATATGCACATCCTACTGGCTCTGTTTCTCTAAAGAACCCTGATTAATACATGTGGGAAGCTGGTGACCTGTAAGCAGTCTGACTCCCTGGGGTCATCATGCTGAATTTGCCATGTGTAGGTGTTCTAGTCAAGTCAACACTGAGCCTGGCCTTCTAGCCACTCCTGCCAAGGCACACAGTAAGGGAGCAAAGTCTTCTTGGACCCTCCAGGCCAGCCCACAACTTGGTAGCCTAGAGAGACCTCAGTCAACACCATAAGAGTCAGAAGTACCAGCCAAGAAATGCCTAAATATCTGACCCACAGAATCCAAAATAATAATCCAAATAATAATTGTTTAAGTTGCTAAATTTTGAGGTAATTTGTTCAATGATAACTACCAGAAAAACTAAAAAAAGAAATAGTCCAGGGCCTCTCCTGGTGGCGCAGCAGTTGAGCGCTGGGCTACAAGGCTGCCCACAGCCTCTGGCAGTGCCAGTTCGATCCCCGGCGGCCAGCGAGGGTCCCACATGGCGTGCCCCGCCGCTCCCCTCAGCAGTGTATTTCATCAGTCTGCCTGTTCTGTTCCCCACTCTCTCTGGGAATCCTCTCACCCTCCCGTGCTTTTCACTGTACCCAATGCCTGTATAAATAAATAAATCTTAAAAAAAAAAAAGAAAGAAATAGTCCACAGTTATATCTGAGAAAAGACTTCAGTTGAGGTGGGATAGAGAGGACTTTATGTTTTCTTTCTAAACCCTTCTTCATTTTTTTGCATTATTCTTAATATGTGCAAATATTACTTCAGAAATTATACTGAATGCAAGACACTGTGCTGTATAGTTGAAATTTGCTAGGAGTATTCGTATATATACATAGACAGACACATACAGAGTGATGGATGGTGGCTATGTTAATTAACTAGATGGAATGAATTCTTCCATAATGTACACACATATCAAATCATCAAAATGTACCATTTTAAATATCTTATGGTCTCATCAATCATACTTCAGTACATTTGGAAGAAAAATAAATTTAAGCAATTCAAATATAAAGAAAAAACAGCAAACATGTTTTGCACTTACTGTATACCTGGAAGTTTTCTAAGCATTCTGTTTTAATTCTTTTAATCCTCATAATAAGCCCATGAGGGATTGCTTTTATTGTCCTCTTTTTCATAGATGGGGAACTGAGGCACAGAGAGGTTCAGTAACTATGTCAACAGTCACACAGCAAGCAACACAACCAAGATTCAAACTAGCCAGTCTGGGACCAGTGCTACATTTCCCCAAAGATCACCAGATTGGCCTAACAGTCACAAGCCAGTGATGAAGCCCCCTGTGTCTCCAAGCATGTGACCAATCACACTATCATGTGTCAAGTACTGCTGAGTGGCTCATTTTGTGAAAATTGATTCTATTATACACTTTAAAATTTGTGTGTGTGCTATAGTTCAATTTTAACAATTTTAAAAGTGGCATAAGCCAAGTCACACATGCAAGAGACATAAAATTTCCTGTAACAACTGAAATCAAGTCGGTGTCTTCACTGACTGGAGGGCAGAAGTGTGGTTGATGCATAATTTGGGTATTTTCAACTCTGCTCACTAAAAATGTAACTTTTCAAATATGCACAAATAATCAACAAATGCCCCAGTGAATTTTCTGTCATTTTTCAGTGATAACCCCTTTGCTGCTTCTGAATCTTCTCACCATTTACCTGCTCCCTTTTAACAGACCTTGTTTTCACAAACAATGCTCCTTTAAGTCATTCTCCTTCCCTACTCCCTTTCCTATCCCCCTTTACCTCCCTAAACTAGGAGGTTATAGCAAGAGCACTTTAGCTCATAGAACTATTTGTGCACAGATGCTGATACCCACAAGAATGAATCTAAGACCTAAGTCTTGAATGTATTGATTCTACTGGCCATTTGCCTGTGCTTTCTTTCTTTAAGGCCAGTTTGGATAATTTAAAACAAGGCTATTTTTAAACTTGCAGTCTTTATTTCTCTAACTCCTCCCCTACCCCTTCCCTCCCATTCACCTTGTCCACCATCTTCCTCTTCCCCCCTCAAAAAAAACAAAACAAACAAAACTAAAATGCACTTTTTCTAAGGCAGAACTTCAGCTAGAGTGATTTATGGACTTGGCAAATCTAGAGTGCAGAAAAGAGTGCCCAGAAGCACCCCTAAGCCCTAAAGTGATAAACTGCATTTCTACTTTGTGTATCTTCAAAGGAAGCAATTAGTTCTCCACTGGTGGCTTCTCCCCCATCCTTAGACTTCATAATCTCAACACAGGACAGCCCAGCCTTAATTTTTTCTCAGCTGGAGCACCTTTTCCCTATTAACTGAAAAAGGGCCAAGGTTAAAAACCTCTCAACTTTCTCAATCTATTTCCTGGGAAAACTTCACCTAAAATGAGGGCCTGGGAGGCGGGAGAGGGAGCATTGGCTCGTGACTGATAACAAGCATGCCAGTTTCTTTTTGGAAAAAGTTTTGGGATTACACAGTGGTGACAAATGCATAATTGCACAAATATACTAAAAAGCACTGAACTGTCCCTTACAAGAGGGTTAATTTATGATATTTAAAATGAATAAAATGTGGGAGGGCCCAACTTTTTAGTAAAAAAGTTGCATGACCAGAGCAACAAGCAGATAAACAGCTACAATTCAAGATGAATAAACTCATGAATTAAAATAAGAGGAAACAGGTCCCGATTTCCGTGGAAATTAACGCGGGCGGGGTCGGGGGGTGGGGATGAAGATGAGGACAGAAACTGCACAATGACAGATCTGATGAGCCTTGCTAGGCTCGGGGCTCTCACTCTGACACAATATTTCATTGATTAATAAGATGACCGTAGAGGCGATGTGCAGAGAGCTAGCGCTGGGGGACGCCACAGGTTGTTTTTGAGGCTACCTCTTGTCAAAGTCTCACCAAGTCACCCCGACGCAGCACAGCACTGCAGGGTAAGGGATGCCTCAGAAAGTTCCACGGGCTCGGGTGGGGGAGCATGAATGGTCCAAGGAAGTTGGCTGCGGTGAGCGCAAGACTCCCTGTTTGCCAAACTAGCCTGAAGAGAGGGACGTTCAGGGACCAAGTCCGCTTGCGGGTTACGGGTTCTCACACGCCCTCCCCCTGGATGTGACCCCACAGACCCTCCAAGCCCACGGGGTAGCGGCCGGGTCCCGGGAGACCCACAGCCCCTGCATCCTCCTACCACCCCGGCTTCCTCCAAGCGCGGCCGGAGCCAGCTCGGATTCGGCCCAGGGCGACTCGAGGCCACCTGCCGCTCCAAGACGGCGGGATAAAGGGGGGTCGACCGCCACTCCCTCCCGCCGAACCGACTTCAGAACTCCTCAGGCGAGAGACACCGCGGCGAGGGTGTCCCATCCCACCCCAACGCGGGGTAATAAAGGGCCCGCGGGCACCCCAGGGCCGTGCGCCCGGTTCCGGCGCCCGAGGCGCTCGCACTCCCCCGCCACCCGGCCGGGCCCGACTTTCCCGCTGCCGGGAGCCGGGCGCCCGGGGCGCCCCTTCCAGAAGGGCGAGCCCCGCCGCTGCAGCGCGCGCCACCCCGCGCGGCCACGGCGCCCCAGCGACCTCTCGGACCCGGTCCCCAGGCCCACCCCTAGGCCGCCGGGAGGGGGACCCCGGGGAGCGGGACCCCGCGGGAGCTGCCCTCACCTTCCCGACACCGCGCGCCCCCCGGGGAGCGCCAAGTTTGCCGGGCTCGGCGAGGGGGCCCGCCCGGGATAAGGGTCGGAGCCCGGGGCAGGGGAGGGGGACCCCAGCCCCGCGGGGTGGGAAAGAGCGCAGCAGCGACCCGGCGCACTCACCTCCAGACGCCGCTCCAACCTGCGCGCCGCGCCGGCCGCTGAGCGACTAGACCAGCCTCGCGGCCCGAGGAGCAGGAGGCGGAGCTCGGGGGGCGGAGCCGGCTCGGGTCAGCCAGCGGCAGAATTAAACCCCGAAACGCCCTGGACGCACCCGGCTTTCCAGCCACCTCCAGGGCAAGGAGTCGGGGGGCACGAGAAAACGTGAGGCGCCGGGTGGGAAGCGACTGTGGCCGCGTCCCAGAGTGGGGAGAGAGCGACGCCCCGGCCCGCGGAGCCCCAGGCGCCTCCTCAGACTTCAAGGAACCCCGGCTCTCGGCCGCGCTCTTTGTACCCCCAGAGCCGGCCGGCGGGCGGCCTCAGTGCGCCTGCGCGCCGCTCCAGCGCTTGCGGGCCCACGAGGCACCTTCGCGCACCTCCCGCCTCGGCCCGCGGGCTTAACGCGGGGAGACGCAGGCTGGACCTCCCTCGGCCCCTGCACGCTCCTCTACCCACGCGTGGTTACTGGTCCCCCCGGGGGAGCGAAAACATCCACCACCACCCCCAGTGAAACTTGGCGCCAGTTCTGTTCTGTGCGCTCTGACGGGAGGAGGACCTGGAAGGCTGAGACCAGCTCAGTTAACACCCCCTCTGGCTCCTGCTGGCTCCATCCACTCCGCTGCGCGATTGCCCTGCGGCTCTGGATTTGTTCGCCCGCTCCTTTTAAGAGCCCGACGGGGGCGGGCAGGGCTCTCTCTTGCTGCAGGTGCTGGAGGGCATGGAGGCCAGAACCTTCCCGCCTCTCCCTGGACCTGCCCTGTGTCCTCCGTGCAGCGCTCCAACTGGGCTACAGTACCGAGTCCTCGGGGGAGGGGAGAAGGCTCCTCTCAAGAAGGGTGCAGACGTTCAGGGAACTCCAAATGTTGGGGGGAAAAGGATGTCCTAAAGCTAATTCCATACAGGCTTTGTGGACTCCACCCCCACCCCAGGCCAAAGCCAAAGACACTGGGAACTCAAATCCCATCACCACCAAAGGGAAGGTGGCTGGGACCTGAGGGTGCGGTTAAGCAGCCGGGTTGGTATAAAGCCAGACACATGGGCTTTGGAGGGGTCCCCCATTTTGGCTCTCCACCAGCTAGCATCGTCCGGCCAGCTCTGAGAGTGCCTTTGGGTTTCCAGGTCGGCGTATTGGGTAGGACGCATTGAAGACTTTATTTCCCTATTTTCTCCCTGAGTTGTACATTTTCCTTATTTCCTTTTCCCTTGTAAATAAACCTTTTATTAACCTTTTGTGTGTGCCTGCAGTGGAGTATTGATAAGTCCCTTTTAAGCGCGCAGGTGAGGACCCACAGCCAGGCAACCCGTTCAATATCCTGGCTGCTCTATAACACAAAGAGGACAGTGTCTGCCTGGGGAACTTAGGTAAGACTGAACTAAAGCAGACACTCTATTCAGAGCAGTTGAAGTGGGTGCGAGAGAGATGAGCAGGACTGACTGAGAGACTGCCTTGAGTCTTCCTGCAAATTGAAGATGGTTTGAGTAAACTGAGGAGGAGCTTAGGGTGGGACAGGACTGACTTTATTAAAACCGAGTATTACCAAGACAAAAAGCAAAATCAACCAGCAATAGCAAAAACTCTCTTCCCCAGTTACTGATTTTCTTAAAGGATGCGAAGTGCTCTCAGCACAGCACACGCCCTAAGGGGCCTTACTTCACAGTCTTTTGCAAGTAGATTGAAGTGATGAGTCAGCAAACCTCAAAAGACAAACCGCTGGACTGAGGGAGAAAAGACTGAAATGAAGTTTCCCTACACTTTGGACACAAAGCACACCTGCAAATTCCTGAAATTGATGCACCCTGTCTGTAAAGGATCAACAAAGAGCAACTCAAAGATAAGGCGGTGGGAACAGAAAATCTCATTTTTAACCTTGGCCCCTGTGCCAACTGACCAGTTACAATAAACAAACTCTTTCTGACCCTCAATTTCTTCATCTGTAGATAAGGCATATGGATTCCGTACAAATTCTCTAAAATCTTCTCCTGCAAAACGTCCACCATTCTATGAAAATAATTTGTTCCCAAGACGAAAAGGGTGGGTAGAATCAGAGGCAGGGGTTCCTACATAAAGTGCCCTCTACCCTTTATTTCTCCTTCCTTATAGTCTGTCAGTAAATACTTCATAGGCTCTTAAAATTAGGTAAATCTAATCAATCAAAACTGTGGCATATCCTAAATTTTTACTTGGACTTACACTGCAATCCATTCAAGTGGATTTGTACTTGAAATTTTACTTAATTCTTTTGTCATTTGTCTATTGAGATACAAGTCACATACCATAAAATTTGCTCTCAAGGTATACAATTCAGTCATTTTGAATATATTCAGCTATGCAACTATCATCAACAGCTAATTCCAAAATATTTTCATCATTCCAGTAAGAAACACCATTAGCAATCACTCCACAGTCCCCCCACCCCTTTTGTCCCAGGCAATCTATTTTCTGTCTACATGGATTTGCCTATTCTGGTATTTCATATAAACATAAACATACAACATGTGGTCTTTAATTGGTTCTTAAGAAACAGTAAAAACCTTGGGGAACCTGATTGACTCGATTAAGAATGTAGGCTAAAAGCAGACACATGGGAGAAACAATTACAGGATTTATTTACACAGGGAGTGAGAGTGTGAGAAAAGGGAGCAGAGGAAGAAAGAGAGAGCATTTACAGGCTGAGGCACATAGCCAGATGCCATCTGTTGTACCCCAGATAGAGTCTGCTGAGCAGAGACTGAGGGCCAAGCTGAAGCCATACGTGGAATGTTGGTGGCTTCTCCAATGATACCCCTCCTGGTCAGGGATTTAATGTAGCAGCCTTTTTAACTGCTCAACCCCCAGCAGCGTAACTACCAAAAGCTCCAGCACTGTCCCCGGAAACCTCACCTTCTACCATCGAATTGGTTATGAGTACCACCTAACAGCTCAGAGGTTGCTCTTCACTGTTTCTCTAATGCTTAGACCTAACATAATAGTTGTGAAATTCATACATGTATCAATACCACATTTCATTTTTAATAGCTGAGTAATAGTCCATTGTATGTATAATATCACCTTTTCTTTATCCATTCATGCAATTATGGACTTTTTTAGTTTTCAGAGCCACTTTTTGGCTTTTATGAATGATATGTTATGACATCCATGTACATGTTTTTGGGTAAACATATAGTTTCATTTCTCTTGGGTGACTATCTAGGAGTGGAATCTTTTAGTCACATGGTCATTCTGTGGTTAAATTTTTGAGGGCAAAATTTTCCAAAGTGGCTGTACAATTTTACACTATTAGCAATGTATGAAGATTCTAATTTTGCCAAATCCTTGCCAGCAGTTATTATTGTGCTATTGTCAGCATTTATATTACATATATATCCCAATGGGTATGAAGAAGAATCTCATTATAGTTTTTAATTTGCATTTCCCTAAAATGACTAGTGATATTGAGCCGCTTCTTTTCATATTCTTACTGACCATTTATATATCTTCTTTTTTAAAAAAATATTTATTTATTTATATAAGCATTGGGGTACAGGCCAAAGGCATGGGAGGGTGAGAGAATTCACCAGAGACAGAGCAGGGAGCAGAACAGGCAGAAGGACCAACGTAAATTGCTGAGGGGAGCAGCAGGCAAGACAGGAGAGGTCTGTCACGCCATGTGGGACTCTCCCTGGCCAGCTGGGAATCGAACCAGCGCTGCAGAGGCTGCAAACAGCTTCATAGCGCTGCACTCAACCCGCTGTGCCACCGGGGAGGCCCATTTATATATCTTCTTTGAAGAAATGTCTATTCAAGTCCTTTACCCATTTGAAAATTAGGTCATATGTTTTTTTTATTGTTGAATTGTGAGAAGTCTTTATATCTCATAAGTGATACTACCCTTTATATGCTATATCATTTGTAAATATTTTCTACCATTATATGGGTTGTCTTTTTGCTTATTTTGATAGTGTCCTTTGAAGCACATTTTTAATTTGACAGTCATATATTTTCTTTTTTTTTTTTTTCATTTTTCTAAACTTACTTTTTTTTTTTTAAATAATAAATTTTATTTTTATATTCCCCATACAATTGCAGCCCCCCCATTCTGACCCCAATCCCTCCCCCCACCCCCGCCCCCCAAAAGTGTCTCTGGTTCATAGTTTTTTGTTGATTTTGATTTTCACTTTCTTATAGTTATTCATTTTCCTGGTCCCTTATTTAAGTTTTCTAGATTCCTGCTATGAGTGAGACCATCTGGTATTTTTCTTTTTCTTTTTGGCTTATTTCGCTGAGCATGATCCCTTCCAGCGCCATCCATGTTGCTGCAAATTGCATGTGTTTATCTTTTTTGAATGCTGAGTAATATTCCATGGTATATATGTACCACATCTTCTTGATCCAGTCATCTATTTTTGGGCATTTGGGCTGTTTCCAAAGCTTAGCTATTGTAAACAGTGCTGCTATAAACATAGGGGTGTAGGTGTTCTTTGGAATTGATGTTTCTGTGTCCTTTCGGTAAATACCTAGGAGTGGAATTGCTGGATCATATGGAAGCTCTATGTTTAGTAGGCCCAGAAATCTCCACACAGCTCTCCATAGTGGTTGGACCAGTTTGCACTCCCACCAACAGTGCAGGAGAGTTCCTTTTTCTCCACACCCTCGCCAACATTTGTTGTTGCTAGTTTTTTTAATATGTGCCATTCTCACTGGTGTAAGATGGTATCTCATGGTAGTTTTGATTTGCATTTCCCTGATTACAAGTGATGTTGAACATTTTCTCATATGCCTGTTGGCCATTCGCATTTCCTCTTCAGAGAAGTTTCTTTTTAGCTCTTCTGCTCATTTTTTGACTGGGTTATTTTCTTTGTTGTTGCTGAGTCTCATCAGCTCTTTGCAGATTTTTGTGATCAGTCCTTTATCATTAGTGTTGGGTGCAAAAATGTTCTCCCAGTTGGTGGGGTTTCTCTTTGTTTTTCTTATTGTCTCTTTTGCTGTGCAGAAGCTCTTTAATTTGATGTAGTCCCAGCTGTTTATCTTTGCCTTCACTCTCACTGCTTTGACAGTCAT